TCGAGCCACCCGCTCCGCCGCCGGGCGGCACCTTGACGTGCCCCGCGGCGGTTGCAGCGAGAAGCGCGTCGGGGATGCCGTCGCGCCCCGCCTGCAGGCAGCACGAGCTCGTTCGCCAATCACGCCCTCGATGAGTGAACTCCCATCCGCTCCACTCACTCCTCCCCCCGCCTGCGGCAGCAGCAGCGGCAGCAGCGGCAGGTGGCCGTACCGCGCGGCGCTCGTGAGCGCGTCGAGGCCCGCCGCGTTCCGATGCCGCGCCGCCGCCCCCGCAGCGAGCAGCGCCTGGTTTGCACGCACGCGACACGTGTCCCCCGCGCAGCCAACGCAAAGCCGAGCTGCGGCGCGCCGCCGCGCGGGCACGGCATACGAGTGCGTCGGCGTGGGGGTCGCCGCGCCGGCACGGCGAGTGTAGCGGAGCTGAGGTGGAGGGGCCGATGCGTGCCGTGGGGTACCAGACCTCCAGAGTATCGAACCCGGTGCGGAGACACTGTCCCAGGGGTGGAGGGGCCGCGGCGTGGCGCGGGGCGCGTTGCACGCGCCTGCGCGGCGTGCGCGTTCCCGTGCATGACCGCGACCAGCAGCGCGGTGTCGCCGGTGCCGTTCTTCTGCTCGATGTCGGCGCCGGCGGCCAGCAGCGTCTCGCACGCGAGGGCGCTGCCGGACGCCGCGGCACACAGCAGCGCGCCTGCAAGCCGCGCAGTTCGGCGGCGGCGGTGGCGAGATGCGGACCTCTCTCGGCTAGCTCCCGGCAATCTCCCTCGGCTGCCTGGCTGTCTCTCCCGGCTACCTCCCTCGGCTACATGCCTCACTCTTCCACTCCGCGTCGGTTGTGCGAAGAGCATCCTGCAGCGAGCCGGCCCGGCGCGGCCGCACCTCCACGCATGAACCAACCAGGTCAACGCCCTCACCCTCTGCCGCGAGCCGGCCCGGCGCGGCCCCGCGCCTCCAGGCTCGCGTCGTCGCGGGAGGCGCGGTCCGAGTCATCGCGCCGCACCCAGTCGAGCAGCACGTGCAGCACGTCCACGTGCCCCCCCGCCGCCGCGGCGTGGATGGCCGTCCCCTCGCCGCCGATCGAGCGAGCGGGGTGCGCGCCGTGGGCGAGGAGGCTCCGCACTGTCGGCAGGTGCCCCTGGCTGGCGGCGCCTCGCAGCGCGTGGAACGCGTCCGCCTCGCGCTCCTCGTCCGGCCTGCCGTCCGCCTCGAGGAGCAGCTCGCAGCAGGCCGTCATGCGCGCCGCGGCGAAGGCGACCAGCGGCGTCTCTCCGCGCCGGTTGGCCTACTCCACGCTCCAGCGAAGCGTGCGCCCTTGGATCGCGATGTCGAGCCGCCCTACCCCGCGCGCGGCGGCTGACCCGCTGCGCGAGCGGGGCCGCCCCCGCGCCGCTCGCCCGCTGCCACGCCCCCCTCTCGAGCGCCAGCAGGCAGGAGAGCGCCTCCGCCGCCCTCGGGGCGTGCTCGGCGTCGCAGCGGGCGAGCGCGTGCAGGCAGCCGTCGGCCGCCACGTCGACGGCGTCGAGGGAGGCGCCGGCGCGGAGGAGCGCCTGTCAGGGAGGTGCTGGCGGCGCGGTGTTGGCGTATCGAAGCCGACTCCTTCTTGTGAGACTGGCGTTGCCGTCTCTCCCTTCTCGACGGTCTGTGCTTGCGCGTATTTGGCCCGGGGTTGTGTTTTTGCGTGAGACGGAGCGAGTGGAGGGCGTGGCGTGGGGAGAGCAGCGCGCGGCGGGAAACTCGTCTCGCTGCCGGAGGGGCGGGTGCGGTCTCGCAGACTGACTAACGACGCCTGCGCCGCCTCGGTCTGCACGTGCTCGCACGCCGCGAGGAGAGGCGTCACGCCGCGGCAGTCGACCGCGTCGGGCTCCGCACCTGGTAGAATACAACACAACACGGTGTAATGTAGTTGTGTTGTGTGGTGTGGTGTCAGAGCAGGATGGTGGGCACCGGCGGCGAGCAACGCCTCCAGCGAGTCGAGCCGCCCCGCCGCCGCCGCCGCGTGCAGCGCCGTGAGGCCGGCCTACAGGAAGGGTCCAGGAACGGTGCAGGAAAGGTGCAGGAAAGGTCGGTCTAGGAAAGGTCTAGGAAACGCCTCGTCGCTGTCCGACGGCGGCGTGTTCTCGAGCGCGGCCTGAAGCTCGGCGACGGTGCCGTGGCGGGCAATCTGGAGGAGCTGCCGCACGCGTGCATGCGCGAGGTGCTGCGGCGGCACCACCACCACCTCGTACGACACCGTCACAGGCGACCAGATCAGCATGCCCGCGCCGACCCACGAAAACTGCTGCGCCCAGCGCGCCTCGCACAGCCCCTCGGCGGGGACGACGACCTCGCCCTCGTGCGCCTCGCCGAGCACAGCGTGCACCCGCGCCCCGCCCTGCCACAGCTCGAACTCGAGCTCCTTGCCGTCGTGCACCTGGAAGGCGACGCGCACCAGCGAGCCCGGCCCCGGCGAGTGGAGCGGGAAGGAGAAGGCGCCGCCGGGCGGCACCTCGACCGACTTTGCGCGAAACTTGACCGACTCGTGCTTCGTCGGGCTGGGCGGGAAGGAGAGGTGCGCCGAGGAGCGGTCCGCCGGGACGATGCGCATGGCAGCGCCGTACAGCAAAGTTGGTGAATAAAATATATTTTCCTGCCTACTCCAACCGCCGCGCGAGCGACCCTCTATCTCCCGAAATAGCGCAGCGCGGCCCCGAGATCGCCCGAGATAGCGCGAGATCGCCTGAGGTCGCGCGGCGCGGCGCGAGGCGAGGTGGATGGGTTGGGAGCAAGGGGGCGCAAGTGTTCAGTGCGGTACAGCGGTAGATGGGTCGGGGCGCATGAGCCGGACTTGTGGGCCGGACCACCCCCAGTCCTTTATCTGCGTTCTTGCACATGGAGTGCAATACTCGTTCTGTTGCCATCCCAAACTGTCACTCCCCTTTCTCCCGGCCGGGGTGGGGCGCGCGCGCGGGGGCGGCGGGTGTGCGGGATGTCTGTGGGCCCGAGAGCGATATGCCATGTCCGCCTTGCGTTGCGGGCATTAAGAATCTTACCATATCGTGGGTTGGAGTTTAGCCTACCGTTAACTTGCGACCAACTCTCAGCCTGAGGAACAGCTTTAACCGCAGTGATTGCGACATTTTTAGCCGCGTTAAAAACTTTACGCGGTGTAGCCGTTACCGCTTACCCGACATTTTTTAGCTCGTATTTCCTCTCAAGACTCAACGCTCAAGCCTCAACAGTCGGAGAAAAGGGATTCACGCCTTACATCTTTTTTTGTCTAGGGTACCATGTCCTTGGACCTGGTGTATCCACGGCCGATCCACACCCCTACCGGCTACGCCCTAGTAGTGATGGGTAGATAAAGGTAAGAGGAGCGGGGGTCTCCGCCCTATGTGTGGTGTCCGCCGTCAGCAGGGTCGCAACAGAGTCCTCTTCCTCTCGCGGAGCATCCCTTCCTCGTCCAAAACTGCGCGGGCTTCTCACTGCCCCGGCGCCCACGCCTCGATCTTCTTGGGCAGCAGCTGGTTCGACAGGTCCTCTCCGTGGCCTAGGCAGCCGTGTTCGCCCTCGCCCCAAGTAAAGACGGCGCCGTCGGCGGTGACGGCGAGGCTGTGGTACTGCGCTGCCGAGACAGCGACGACGCGCTGGCCAGCAAAGGCCTCGATCTTCTTTGGCAGCAGCTGGCTCTGCGTGTCGCCGTGGCCCAGCCGGCCAAAGGCTCCCCAGCCCCAACTCCAGACGGCGCCGTCGGCGGTGAGGGCGAGGCTGTGGTGCTCCCCGGCCGACACGGTGATGACGCGCTGCTCAGCAAAGGCCTCGACCTTCTTGGGCAGCAGCTGGTTCTGCTGGTCGCCGTGGCCCAGCTGGCCAAAGGCTTCACTGCCCCAGCTCCAGACGGCGCCGTCAGCGGTGAGGGCGAGGCTGTGGAAGCCTCCAGCCGACACAGCGACGACGCGCTGGCCAGTGAAGGCCTCGACCTTCTTGGGCAGCAGCTGGTTCTGCTGGTCGCCGTGGCCCAGCCGGCCATGGCCTCCACTGCCCCAGCTCCAGACGGCGCCGTCAGCAGTGAGGGCGAGGCTGTGGCTGGATGCCGCCGAGACAGCGACGACACGCTGGTCAGCCAAGGCCTCGAGCTTCTTCGGCTGCCACTGGTGCTGCTCGTCGCCGTGGCCCAGCTTGCCGTATTCTCCATCGCCCCAGCTCCAGAGGGCGCCGTCAGCGGCGAGGGCGAGGCTGTGCTCGTATCCAGCCGAGACAGCGATGACGCGCTCATCAAAAGCCTCAACCTTCTTCGGCTCGCACTGATGCTGGCCGTCGCGGTGGCCCAGCGCGCCCAAGCCGCCCTGGCCCCAGCTCCAGATACTGCCGCTGCCGGTGAGGGCGAGGCAGTGGTATCCTCCAGCCGACACGCTCACTGGACGCTCGGCGCCAAGCGTCGACGGGAGCCGCGTCGGCGTGTTGAGCCGCGTCACGCCCTCGGGCACCGTGACCAAGGATGCCTGGGACGTGACGCGGCGCACAGCCGCATGACGACAGCCGCCCCTCGCCGACGATGAAGAGGCTGTGGTAGCGGTCTGCCGCAGCCCTCGCCGGCGGGTTAAACTCGCACAGCAGCGCAGACAAGCACAGCCACCGCACGGCGCAGCCCTCGCCCTCCGGCTGCGCCGGCAGCTCGAAGCCGCGCTCTCGCGCCCACAAGCGGGTGCCCTCCAGCGCAAGCGAGGCGTGGAAGAGCAGCGAGACGGCCGCGACGCGAGCGATGTCGAGGGGGCTGTCGAAGCGAGAGAAAACGCGCACGAGGAGCTCCGTGGGGAGGTCGAGGAGGCGGGCGGGCGGCGGCGTGTCTGGCGAGGGCGCGGCGGAGGAGGAGACGGCGAGGCGGCGCGAGCGTCGGCGCGGCCCCGTGGAGCGGCCCCGTGGATGACATACATTTAGAGGCATCAGCTTCCCCCCGCAAAAAGAGCACTGATAAAAGAGCACTGATATAAAAAGAGCACTGATCGGAGACGCCGTCGCTGATTTCTATGGCGTCGCTGCTGCTGTCACCCGACAGCCCGGCGCCGGAGGGTACCTCCGCCGAAGCCGGTGGCGGAGGCGAGGACGGGGAGGACGCCGATGCTGCGACAGCCGAGAGCCGCGGCGTGGCTGGCGGCGTGGCTGGCGGCGTGGGACCGTGCGGAGTCGATGAGCTGCTGGAGTGCACACAGCCCGCGGCGGGTGCCTTATGTGCCGATGAGCTGCCCGCCGCCCCGTGCTCCGGTACGCAGCTGCTGGATGCCGGTGTTGGCGCAGGCCAAAAGAGCGGCGGCGGCGGCGGCGGCGGCGGCGGCGGCGGCGGCGGCGGCGGCGGCGGCGGCGGCGGCGGCGGCGGCGGCGGCGGCGGCGGCGGTGCGGTTTCGAACCCGCAGCCAGTCGTCGCGGCGCAGGGCGCCGGGCCACTGTGCTGCCCGGCCGCCCGCCGAGCGGCGCTGCGCCGGCTGGCCCAAATACTGCGTGCTGCGGCCTGCGCTGCAGATAGGCAGCACAGGGCATCCTGCCCGAGAGACGATGAGGCTCGCAAGCTGGCCGGCGCGAGCACGAAGCGAGGGCCGCCGACAGGCAGCCCGCCTTCGAAGGCGGAGCGCATCGCCGGCGGGGCGCAGGGCGGCGCTGACACCGGCGCGAAGAGGGCTCTTTTCCAGCCGGCCGGAGAGAGTCGGAAGGAGGGCCGGCGGGGCGATGACGGGCCGGCGCGGCTGGGCGGGCAGCCTTCGCCACCGCACACGCAGGCCCGTGTCGGTGGGGAGGGCGGTGAGGGGCCACCACCGTCGCCGCGTCCCTCGACATCGGCGGGCGGCGGGGCTCCGCCGCCGCCGTCGCTGCCTCCCTCTCCCTCTCCGCCCGAACATGTCGGCGAGCCGCCGCCTCCCACGCCGCCTCCCACGCCGCCGGCACCAGGGGGCGGCACGCCGCCCCGCTCGGGCGCTGGCTCGCGCAAGCCCGCGGGCGCTGCCCACGACACGACGCACGTCACGACGCGCTCCAGCAACGGCGTGCAAGTGCGGCCGGCCCCGAAGCTCGGGCGCGGTGACGGGTGGGGCGAGGGCAGTGCGGGCGGCTGGTCGAGCGGGCGGGGAGGTAGGCGCGCGGCTGCGGCGCGCGCGCAGGCGCCTCACTCGTGGAGCGACGTCTCGGCCGGCGGTGCGGTGGAGGGCGACCTGGTGCGGGCGATCGGCGGCGCCTGCGCCCCGGAGATCGACTGCGTGCAGCAGGCGCTCGACGTCGACCGTGTGGGGCACACCGACGAGATGGCCGGCGGGGCCACTCATGTCGGGCGGGGCCACTGGGCGCGAGCGCCGCCCTGCGCGTGTCCCAAGCCCTTCCGGCGGCTGGCGGAGTGCCCCCGTGTCGGGGAGTCCGCGTGCGAGACGCACCGTTACGGCAACCACGTTCGCCTCCCTACGGGGGCCTCGAGGCAGGCTCGCTTCGAGTGCGTGCGGCGCTTCGCCGAGGATTTGCGGCGCGACCCCTCGCTCGCTCGGCAGTGGCGGCGGGAGCTGCGAGGCAAGCGGCTCTCGTGCTGGTGCGCTAAGCGGGCGCGGCTGCTGCTCTGCCACGGGCACGTGCTCTACTACGTGGCGAACTGCTCCGACGCCGCTTTCCACGCCTTCCTCGGCGAGAGCGGCGGCCCAGCGGACCCCGACCTGGAAGAGGCGCTCGTCCGCTCGCGGTCTGGCGGCTCGGATGCGCTCGCGGCGCCGCCCCGCGCCGGGCTGGCTGGGAGCGCGCCGCAGGCGGAGCCGGGCACTGCGGCGGACGCGACGGGTGCGGTGGCGGGTACCGAGGCGGGCGAGGTGGCGGCTGCGTTGGCCGCGGTGGAGGACCTCGAGAGGGATGAGGCGGTCGCAGCGGTCGAGGCGGCCGAGGCGGCTAGGGCGGCCGAGGTAGTCGAGGCCGCCGAGGCCGCCGAGGCCGCGGGCGTGGCGGCGGAGGCCGCGTCGGCTGCGGCGGGGCTGGCGCGGCGGGGGGCGGCGCCGGCCTCGCCGCCGGTGGGGGCGCGGAGGGCGCCGAGTCGAGGGCGGCGGAGGCGGCCAAGGCGGCGGTGGGCCGCGGGCTGCGCGGCGACGAGGTGGTGGACGCGATCCGACGCGCGGGCGTGGTTTTGCTGCCGGTCCACCTCGACGTCGCGCGCCGCCAGGCGCGGCTGGTGGCGGCGCACGCCGCCCTCGACGCCAAGTACCGAGAGGACAAGAAGACGTACTATTTCTACGACAAGACTGGCCGGGCCTACCGCATCTACAACCCGAGAGGGCTGCCCCCGGCGCATACATATCTTCCGCTTACCGAATGGAGCTCGCGCAGCAATCTTCTACAACACGCTCAGCGCCGATACTCCGCGACGATTCACCATTCGGCCTGGAGGGACATGCATGCGGCGGCGGGCCGCGCAGGGAGGAGGGAGCAGGTGCGGTTTGTCTCGGTCAGCCAGTTCGGCGCGGGCGCGTTCTTGAACGCGATCCCGACCCGCGCGCACTTCCGTCTGCCCTCGTACGTGCTGCGCTTCGCGCTGCAGCGCCGCTTCGGATTGCACCTGTCGATGATGACGGACGTTATGGCGGACGGCATCTACAGCCAGCACGGTCTGCCCTTTGACGCCCTCGGCGACGTGGCGCAGAACGACGGCGCGGCGGGCCACCAGACGCGGCACAAGGAGGTCCTCCTGGACCTCGTCGAGCTGCTGCGGGGCAAGCTGGGGCGCGGCGCTGTGGAGCACGAGTTTCACTGCGAGCACAGCACTACGAGGACGGACTTGTACATTTACCAGGGCGTGATTGGGGACCTGCCATGCATCGGCGACACGAAGATCTTTGCCGGTGTGCCGTCGGACCCCTCGGGGGCGGGGCGCATGGGGGCGTTCGTCGCTTGCGGCAACACGCTGCCACGCGCCCGCGAGACGGTTCTGGGCGTGGAGGGCGGGGACAGGGGTGGGAGGGTGGGACGGTGGGATCCGCGGACGGGGACCGGGACGGTTGAGGCTGTCAAGGGCCAGTACACGGACGCAGAGGGGAAGTGCCATGTGGAGGCGTTGCTCTTCGAGGAGTTCGGCGCAATGAGCGCGGGGGTGGAGGAGCTGCTGATGCGGGTGGCTGAGGTGGCGGGCCGGAAGCTCACGTGGTGGCAGTACGACCAGACGTCGTGGTCGGCGCGCGAATGGATGCCGTTTGCGCTGCAGCGACTGTCGGTGCAGCTCTGGGTGGCGCTCGCGGACGAGGCACAGCGCGCCATTGGTGCGGCGTCGCGCGACCGCGAGGGACCGCGGGGGAATGCTAGTGGGATGGGGGGCTCTGAGGGGAAGGGAGCGGGGGGCGCCCAGTAGGGCGCCGGCACCCCAGCGTAGAGGGCGTCGTGTAGCCCTCCTTTTGGTATAAATAAAAGAGCCGATCGCGGCGGCCTGCCACGGCCCGGGATGAGCTCCCCACGATGCGACTAAGCGAGATCAATTGACCTACTGGACCTATAGTCCACCCCTATCATGTCTATACTGACTGCAGACGACCACATGCCACACAGCATCACGCACAAGCACAAGACCCGGGATCGCAAAAAAGACCCGCGGTGCTCACACACACCCACGCGCTCGTGCATGCCGAACCAGCTCTAAAAAAATACCACCGGGACCGCCTCGCCAAGGCGCACAATAGTCCTCAGTCTGGCGAAGGCCAATTCTGTCATCCTGGGCGTCAGCAGCGTGCGACGACAGCGGTCTTCGTTGCGGAGCGGTGTTTTTCCTCTTTTTTGAGAGCGCCTTCGTTCCCGCAACTCTCTTGCTAACACGCGCGCCCCACCGAAACTGTGGTGGGCGCGCTGCGGCCGCACGTCTACCTCCGTCATAGTGCCACGACGTGCGGCCTAGATTTAGCACACGCGCCTCAGCTTGCATACGCTCATACAATGGATTGTCATCGCCTGTGAGTGCGAGAAGGGCTAGCCGTAGGCGGCTAGCCCATGAGGAGAGCGTCCATAGACACCTCCCTAGACCCCACATACGGTCTCGTCCGTGCCTCGCAGGCCGGCGAGATTGCTAGAGGTGGAGCCAGCTGCTCTAGCCTCACATGTCACTTCCTGTTGTCTGTTGTTTGAGTTGTGCCCTTGTTTGTGCCCTTGGCACCGTGGAGTGCTGGGGGGGGCGACAGGGAGGATGTGGCCCTGAGTTATGTATACGCCGACTCAGGGTGTGTGGCAGCCAGCTGGCTGTGTGTCTTGTGAGCCTGTTTGTGTCTGTGTGTCGCTCGTGCGTGTCGTCATCATCTGTCTAGCGTCCACCCATACCGCGTTGGTGTCCAGTCCGAGCCTGGCTGTTCTTCACCTTTCTACCTACCTACCTACTTCGTTGTTAATAGTACAAACCCAATGGTCCTCTGCGAGCGGTCCTTCGTCGCAGTCGCGCACACGCACACGCCACGCCGCACCGCGCGCCCGCCCACCGCCCCGCCCAGGCGGGAAAGAGACGGGGAGATGGGACAGCAAAGGAGGAGCCTCAAATACGTATGGGAGGGTTCAGTAATGCGCCACGCTGCCCGGCGTTTCTCACTTTCCGGGACAGCCCCGCCCTTGTGAGGCAGGAAAGTGACGGCTACCCCGTACGCCCTGCGGCTTCTACCCCGACGCCGACCGCCCATTCTCCCCTCCTCGTTCCCCCCTCGGATGCTCCGGACCCCGACAAGCCGCCCGACGTTGGGCCTCTGCCCCGCACGCCCCCGCCCCTTCTGCCCCTCCCTCACACCCCGGCCCGACATGCACATACAAGACAAACCCGGCGTCCTGCTCTCAAAAGAAAAGAAAAAATGGGAAGGAGGAGACCAGCGGGGGAGACTCCCCGCCTATGCAACACCCCAGAGAGGGGCTGCCATCGCCGAAGCTGTGCCTAAGCATAACTCCCAAACCCGCAGCGGCCCGGGGGGCCTTGGGGGCAGCCTGCCGGACCGCTGTTGCACGGGGCCAAGCACCGGAAGATGAGTGGAATTGATGGATTGGGCCGTTGTCCGTGCCTCCCCTCTATACGTCAGAGTGGGACCTACGCCGCGCCGGGTAAGGGGCGCGCCCGGTCCTCGACGGAGCCGCGCGCCCCAGACGACCCAGGCGGCGAGTAGTCGTCCTCGAACCTTCGACTCGTAGTCGCCCGTGGTCAGCGCCCCTCCTCCCTCGCCCGTCCCTACTCATACTGCTCTCGCGGCGCCCGCGGCATCTCGCCGCCCATCCTCGGCCACGCGTTGTAGTCGAAGATGGCGGCGTTGCGCCTCGCGACGATGGTCGAGTGCACTTGCAGGAAGCGCTTGCGCTCGCTACTGACCCGCCATCGTTCGCTGTCGGAGGACGCCTTAGCGGCCTTGATGTCGAAGTTGGTGTTGAACCACGTCGCCGCCTCGTGCCCGATGCCGCCACGCGTGCTCGCCGCCCACGTCATAAAGTCGCAGTTTTTTGCAGTTTTTTTCCTCTTCGGTCGCCTAGCCCCGGCGCCGTCTGGCGGACGCCTGCGTGTCACGAGTGCGAGCCGCTCGCGGTTCGTACGCCCGCTTGCGGGTTCGAGTGGCGGGCTATCCCGCTTGCGGGATGGCTTAGCGGGTTCGAGCCGTCACACATTGGCTGCCGGGGTGTGCCGAGGGGGGGCTGGGTGGGCGGTAAGCCGTCATTGCCCGGCGCTGCTTGCAGCGCTCTGGGTGGTAGTGGCGGCGCTCCAAGAGTGGTGCTCTTGGGAAGAGGTTCCTCCTTTCCGCTCCCCCCCCGCAAGGCGCGAGACACACACTCTTTTTTGCGAGGCTGATGCCTCTAGTAGAAATGCGGCATTCGGTTACGCAAAAGCATGCGATGGCCGGGATAGCCGGCCAGCTGGTTTTCCAGAGCGTACAAGACCTGCATCACTCCATGGCACGATCGGCCGGCGTTCCAATCGGCGCTCTTATCCTGCCGGTTCGAACCCCGGCCTTCGTGTCCTCGCGGAGCGACACGGATCGCGCGCGTGAGAGATTTTAAAGACCAACAAGAAATCTCTTCTTTCGCGCGTGTGCGACTGGCACCTTGGAGTGCTGGGGGGGGCGACAGGGAGGATGTGGCCTTGAGTTATGTGTACGCCAACTCAGGGTGTGTGGCAGCCAGCTGGCTGTGTGTCTTGTGAGCTTGTTTGTGTCTGTGTGTCGCTCGTGCGTGTCGTCATCATCTGTCTAGCGTCCACCCATACCGCGTTGGTGTCCAGTCCGAGCCTGGCTGTTCTTCACCTTTCTACCTACCTACCTACTGCGACAAGACGAGACGAGAAGCAGAAGCGAACGTCGATGTTTTTGCTGCCGCGGCCGCGCCGCGACCTCCCGTTTGTTTTGGCGCCGATGCAGCGCCGTCTCTCGCCGCGCGAGATGGCGCCGCCGCGGCGTCGGCGCCGCGATCAACCGCGCTCCAGCAGCGAGCGGTGCAGAGCGGTACCGACATGGCAGTTGGCGTCGGCGTCTTACATCTCTCTCTCTCTCTCTCTCTCTCTCTCTCTCTCTCTCTCTCTTACATTCTTTCTTTTTCATTTTCTTTTTCCCGAGCAAACTTTTTCTTTTTTCCTCCCCAGAAATGTCCGCTAACTTGTCACCGGCTCGGTTCTCACGTGATGCTACCGGTTCTCGTCCTGGCCCTCGCCCTGCAACGCTCGCCCGCGGACTGCAGCCGTCGCGCCTTGCTCCGACGCGCCGCCACCGCCGGCCTCGCCAACGCTGCCGCCCTCTCTGGAGGACCGGCGCGGGCCATCGTGAACGGAGACAGTGTGAGCGACGCGGAGGCGGCCGCGACTGGCTCGGTTGGCCTGTGGATCGACCTCTCTGGATGCTCGGTGTGCCGCAAGGACAAGCCGGCGACGTGCTCCGGGACGTTGGTCGCGCCGACGCTCGTCCTCTCGGCGCGGCACTGCCTCGATACACCGCGGATGCTCAACGGCACGCTCGAGCGGGTCGTCTTTGGCTCGGACATGTTTGGCGCCGGAGCGAGCCGCGACGTGGTCGCCGTGAAAAGCACATCCGACTACGGCATCGAGACGGCGGGGAATGACCTTCTCCTAGATGCGGGATCCGATCCAACACTCGAGAGGTCTTTCAGCGAGGTGCTTGGCTGCATTCAGCTGCACTCACTGTACTCGTGCGCATCGCAGCCACGCGATGCTCTGTGCACTGCGCACGCCGTATCCCGCCCTGACCTTCCTCGACTCGTGCGGGCAGGATCTCATCCTCCTCAAGCTGTCCAGCCCAGCTCCGAAAGAGTGGAGGGTGGTAGAGCTTCCTCTCGGCCCGCTCCCCTCCACGAAGCGGCTGTGGACCGCGCAGCGGCTGTGAGGCGTGGAGCTGTGCGTAGGCCTGCTCCCCTCCAAGGAGGAGCAGGAGGAGGCGAGGAGGAAGGGCTCTCCCTTCTACCCGGACGGGCTAGGCTTCCCATCCCTGGCAACCTACGGCTACGGCCAGCAGGCGTGCGCCGCAACTTGTCCCTGCCCAAAGCTGTGAACGGCGCCTCGTCGCACCCCTCCGCATCCCTCCCATGCATAGTCCACACAAGACGCCAGTGGCTTCTGCTGCCCCAGGCTGAGGACGGCGCCTCTTCACACAACGCCGGGCCCCGAATTCGCACAGTGACAGTCACGCAACACGGCTCCCCCCCCCCCCCCCCCTTAGTCCACCAAAGGTACTACCGACCCCGCCGCGTACTCTGCCGGGCAGCTAAGACGGCTCGGCGTCAGCGTCCAGACGGAGATTCGGCCGTGGGCGGCGGGCTTCCTGACGAAACCCGTCGACCGCAACACGGGGACGTGCGCCGGCGGCTCTCGGGAGTGCGGCTCGCGCATTTCTTTTCTGGAGCACAGTTCCTTCTCATTAGGTGCGCCGGCGGCTCTCGCGGCGCGCGGGGCACACCTTTCGCTCCATTCGTTTCTGTTTTTGTAGGTGCGCTGGCGACTCGGGCGGCGGCGCGCTCGCGTTTGTGCAGGACCCGAAGGGCAGGGGGATCCGCCAGTTCCTCGTGGGCGTGCAGGCGGTCACGACTCGAAGAATTGAACAATTTGAACTCGGAGGTCCCGCGGGTGATCTCGGGTCAAGCTGATCGTGCCTCGTTTGGTGCGCGAGCAGGCGGTCGCGTCGCTGCCGTGCGAGGAGAACCAGCAGGCGCCACTAGCCCGCTGCACCCCCTCCGACCATAGCTTGGCGCCCACCGGCTCGTCCTTGGCGGCAGGTCTTCGTCAACCCGGCGGCCTTCTCCGAGTTTCTGCTGCAGGCGAGCCGGGATTTGGGCTCGCCGCTGCAGCCGACCATCAACTGGAGGGAGTACTCCTGAGTGATCGGAGGCACAGTCGTAGAGCCGAATTATGTTCGCCCCGCCCAGTGTCGTGCGAGGAAGCGCGCCGGCGTAAAATTCTTTTTGCCCGCACTTGCGCAAGACTTGGAGCCACTCGCTTGCGTTGATCTCTTGTGCGTTGTAGACGGTGATCGGTGACGGTGTGCGGTTGGGGCAACCAGGCAACCGCTCACATACGGCTTTATCTCCAGGGCCCCTTGGGCCAGGACCCAGGTACCATCTACCAATTTTGTCGAATTTATTTCAAAATCTGCAGGCGCGGAGCGCCTGCGAAAATTTTGAAGAAATTTGCAGTCGGGCCTGATTTTCATCTGCCAGGACTCTGTCAGGACTCTGTTAGGACTCTGCCATGACTCGGTCAGGACTCTGTCAGGACTGTCAGGGGACAGGTGCGGGAGGTCCACTTACGTACCAGGTTTGAGAACACACACCCCTCTTCTCCCTTTGCCCTTTTATTAAGCTAAAAGTACGTACACAGGAGAGAGAGATAGGCTAAAAGTACACACAGGTTTGTGCCCCCCAAAGTGTACATCGCCATCGGACGCTCTGTGCACTGTGGCCCGCTGTGCTCAAAGCAATGGGTTGGCGGGCCGTAAACGGGGACAGCGCAGCAGACAGTCCGGACGCTCCCCACCCTCTATCTATCCCCGCAGCACTACGACAGCCCCCCGCAGATCCGACGCTGGAGCGCCGTACAAAGCAATGGCGGGCCGTCAGCTCGCAGAAGTGACGCTCCCCTTCCCTCTACCCCCCGCCGCAGCACTACGACAGCCCCCCGCAGGTCCCAACGCTTGTGGCCCGCCATGCAAAGCAATGGCGGGCCGTCAGCAGGGATGCAGGCCAGCCCAGCAGACAGTCCGGACCCTCCCCACACTCTATCGACTCCGCAGCATGCTACTACGACAGTCCCCCGCAGACCCGACGCTGGAGCGCCGTGCAAAGGAATGGCGGGCCCGCGCAGCAGACGGTCCGCACGCTCCCCACGCTCTATCCCCGCAGCACTACATCAGTCCCCCGGCCCGCAGACGCTCTGTGGCCCGCCGTGCATGGCAGGCCCGCACAGCAGACTCGGGGAGCTCCCTCGGCGTCCGTAGGCTAGCACGGCAAAAACCCCCATACAACTGTTCGGCGTATCTCCTGAGGCGATGCACTAGGACTAGCCAGGCATCGGGAAGTAGCACGTGGGCGTCGAGCCGAGAACGCCACAGCTTTTGCCGATGTAGTAGAGCTGCAGGTGGACAGACTCGACACCAGAGAGGTCGAGTCCGTTGGCGGAGCCGGTCGAAAAAGTGATTGCCTTGACCTACATGCAAAACAAGAGCTATCAGCAGCACACGTGAATGTGGTAAGCGGCACTAGCAGAAAAAGGCTCGCCGTCCAGGTGGTGTACAACGCGGCTTGATTGAAAGGCTTGTTAGGAAAGGAGGAGAAGGCCGGCTTCTCGCTGAAGTAATCCGCCAAATTTCCTTTAGCCAGCTGCTCAGCAATGCAGTAGCCTTGCTCCTCTGCGCCGGGACAGGTCCCTGGGGGCAGCGACAAGCGCATATTGCAGATGCGCGTGTCTTTGGAAAACACAGGCGCCTGGGCCCCCCACTGCGCGCCTAGTGGTTCGCACATCGGGTCTTCACCCGGTAGGTATTCGAAAGGGGGCTTGATGAAGACGGCGGACTCGTCATTGCTGCTCGCGAACTCGACCTCGGTGAAGCTGCCAGTCCCATCTCTGTAGCGCTGACGCAAGATGGCCGCTGGCTCGAGGGCGATTAAGACCCTGTCTCCATCAATCTTAGGAGTCGCGTCTCGCAACGGTCCGCGAGAGCGTGTGCTGCGCAGAGCGCGCCAACATCGTCGACATCGATCGACATGTCGGTGTCGATCAGCAGCGGGACACCTGCCGCGCCGCACTCTGGTGGCGGGGGAGGCGGCATTGGATACGGCGGCGGATTGGGAGGCGGCGGCGGAGGCGGCGTCGGATACGGCGGCATTGGAGGCGTCGATAATGAAATCGAGGGCATGGGAGGCGGTGGTGTGAGCGGTAGTGGAGTGCGCGGCTTTGCTGATGCCGGGAGGGGTGCCGGCAGATTCACGCCGCCACTTGCGCGGGGAGGGAATGCGACCCACGCGGCCCTTCGAGAAAGCGCCCGCCGACCGGGTTGGTGGAACAAAAGAATTTTACAACGAAACTCACAAACAAAGAATTCAAATGCTCGAGGGAACGGCCGGATTTGACGAGATTGGTCTTTCTTGACGCGGCGTGCCGCTCTCCCTCCTCCCTCTTGGAGCACTTGGAGTGCAGTCAGTAACCTCACATCCAGGGCCGGGGAGCTGAGTGAGAAGCGCACCCACGGATTTTGTTTCTTTCTCTCCTTTTCGTTGACGTTGTAAAATCTGATGGACAAAAAGGGTCTCGCTCTCGGTGATGACGAGATGTTTTCCATTTTAAGTGAAGAAGCAGTCCCATGATGAGAGAGAGATTTTGAACACATCAGGACCACACACAACTCTAGTTGTTGTTGAGAGATCGGCCTCTGATGTCGAGCTCTCTCCTCAGGAGTACTCTCTCTCTCTCTCTCCTCCGCGCGGAGCAGTGACACGCCCGCAGACGCGACGCGGTGCCATCGCGAATCCTAGTTCTACAATCGTATAGGTCTCACGCCACGCGCGAGTAGCCGAACTTGGTGTCGAAGTACTTGACCGGGAAGGGGAGCGCGTTGCACGCCTCCTTGGTCGCCGGCGCGATCGTGCCGTAAATTTCGACAGAAAAGTCGTCTGCGGACGTGAGGATCAGTCGGCAGTGTGCCCGCACCGTCCGACCCGCAATGCTGCACCACAATCGTGTGCCTGGGCGTGTCTCTCTGAGAAGTGTCTCGGGAGCGTGTGGGAAGTGTCTCCGATCGCGCACCGCCCATCTCGCCGTGCTGCTCCACAAACTTCACCAGCGGAGGGTTGGTGAGGTGGCAGAGGAGCGAGGCGTCGTCCTTATACACCTCGGACCACGTGAAGGCGAGCGGGTCGGTCGGGTCCTGCCCGAGACGGCTCAGGACTCAGAGCAGCTATATCGCTTGTGAGGGATGAGTGCGTCCGCACGTGGGCTACCTGGTCAAAGGTATGGTGTAGCATGCCGGGCTCGCTCTCCTTGACGGCCTTGTCGGCCACCTGTGCGTCCGGCGGAGGGCGAGTGCTTGGCTTGCGCCGCGAGTTTGCTCCATTTCGCGGCGGGAGGTGCCTCGGCGGCTTCGAGGTACGCAGCTAAGCAGTCCTGCTTGACGTGGCAGCGCGCGATAAGGATGAAGGGCGTGGACTCGCCAAAAGGCATTCGCTCGGCCGCCAGCGCTTCGTGCTAGGCCTGGTTTGTAGAATTTAAAGAAAACGCAGCCATCGGCGCTGGTAGCCCCCCCAAAACAGGCGCGCGGCGCGCGCCCAAGGGCGCCGCAGGCGCCCCAAGCGGCGCGAGGCGCCGCCGGAGGCGGCGGACAGCAGGTGCGCGAAATTAAACGCGGTTTTGCCGCTAACATCGAAATCAACAACTCTAACACTCACACGTCATTTGGGGCCTGGAGCCCCTGCCCTGTTCACGCGCGCGCGAGACGTGGTATTGCTAAAAATCTCTCTCTCTCTCTCGAGTAAGTACTACCAGCGAGTAAGTACTACCGCGAAACTCGTGAACTAGCCGGGGCAGTCGGAGAAGAGGCGGCGGCTCGGGAACGGCGAGGCGGACCA